AAATACACACACACACACACACACAGCATGGCAGAGATTCACCAACGCAGGCCCACACAAACACACCTGCACTCAGGCCAGGCGCCATGACAACAACCCCTAGGGAGCTATTGCTAAGTCACCCCCTTCATGTCCTCCGATGTCCTTCCCAAACTGGACCTGCTGTGTGTGTGTGTGTGTGTGTGTGTGTGTGTGTGTGTGTGTGTGTGTGTGTGTGTGTGTGTGTGTGTGTGTGTGTCTTGTTTATCAATCCTACACTCAAAAGAATCCAAATCAAGGCTCAGTAAAACCTACATGGCTGTCGAGTCTGTTTTACCAAAGCTAAAACTCTTTACAGTTATTTTCTTTTGGGAGATGTGTGCTTCGTGTGGAGGCTGGAGCTGAAAAGAGGAAACAGAGAGTCGAGCCAAAATGAGAACAAACGCAGGCCTAAGTCACTCATAACCAGTTTGTTTTAGTTCAATGTTTTTCATTTAGTCCATAACAGACAATAAGAAAAAATACATACAGCATACATTTCTCATGGTAGACCTGACTCTCACAGTCCAGTTTAACTTAAATCTAAATCCTCCTTCCTGGAAGCCTCTGTAGACCAACCACATCCCACATTTCATAGTCTCAATGCACAGGTCTTAGTCGAGCTCTTAAGCGTCATGCTTTGCCGTACAGTATGTTTACGCATGTGAGGGCTGCTCGGGGTGCAGTGGGTGGCTGCATTAAATATGCATGAGGCACGGCTTAGTCCCCTCGATGTCTTAGTGCGCTGTCCAAAGAACTGCAGGAGCAAGAACCAACTGTTTCTGATAGCTCTAGTCCGGTCTCAAGCTCTCCTCTAGGCTACAACTAATGAGTACTAATGAGTGTTTTCATTACAGATACATCAGTGTTAACGGCATTAATGGCAGTAAACCGATCCGGTTTAAGGGTTAATCTGTAGAGGAGGTGACTGTAGGTCACAGTTATTCCTATATGGATCAATGCAAGGAGCACACACTCACACACTCTCAAACTCAAGATCACACCATCTCGTGTGTAGTCTCATATTAATACTCTGTTTCAAATGCACATTTTCTTTCTTCCTCTCTTCCTTTTCTATTTCAGTCACACACTGTTTCTCTCTCACACACACACACACACACACACACACACACACACACCCTGGTCAGCAATATGTTTCTGGAGCTGCCGGCCATGCCTGGAGGAAATGTGATCTGACTCATAAAACATTGATGGGAGGATATCTTTAGAAGCTTCCTTTCCTCACCTCATCACAACCAAAAACCAGGCTTTCCCCCCCATCACCCCTCCACCCTGCTTTCTGTTCTCTCGTTCCTCCCTCTCCCTGTCCCTTTCATCTCTTCCCTCTGCAATCCTTGGCTGGCCTGGGTTTAACAGTAGCTGGTGTTCATTTTAACCTGCGCTGTGAACCGAACAGACTCTGGTTTCCTTCCTCTTTTCAGTAGGGCTGAATGGTCTGTAAAAATGTCCCGATTAAGCCCGTCATCCTCTGCCGAGGAGAAACCTATTACAGCCGGGTTGCTTCATCCTCACAGAGAGGAAAATCTCTTAATTGTCCCGCCGTCCGTTTCGAGTCGTTCTTTTCCGGGTTTAATTGGATTCTGAAGCTGCCGAGCGGAGGAAGAGATGTGTGAAATGGAAAGTAATAGAATGTACTGCAGTTGCTTTGTGAGTGTGGATACAAGTGTGTGTGTGTGTGTGTGTGTGTTTGTGTATGTATTATAGTGTGCAGTAAGGTGAGACACCGTTTCTGTCTGCCTGTTTCCAAGATGTTCGGCTGTGTGTCTGTCAGTGTCTCATGCAGAGCGTCTGGCTGTCTCTCTCCTTATGTACGGGCCTCGGAATATTGATGAGACAATTTGGTCTCCGAAGCCTTTTTAGAGCCGGTGTTTTTCTGTCTGTCCTGAAACTGTCTCTGTCCTATCTCAATCTGAATAGTCACAAGGTTTAATAACAGCAACACGACTTTTCCTTAATAACTCAGCTCTACATGGATTCATGTGTGAGCAGCGTTCGCTCACTGCGAGACGGATGTCGCCAATTAGATCCAAATCACGGCAATTTTCCACAACAGAATGAGAAGATGGAAGTTTATGTGGAGGAGAGGCAGTGACGTAGTTGTAACCTGCGTCACTTCGTTGATCCAGGGTCAGCTTCTATTGTGAACTAAAACCAGTAAAGTCATGTCAACGTTAACAAGGATTCAAAATATAATTCATGTTCTTTTCAATGTAATTCAACCAGGAAGGGGTTGAAAAAACCCTTTTTTTATCTTGTCCTTTGATGATGGAGACAATAACACAGGAACACGTAGGAGGCAGAGACCGTTTCTGTCATCTTTCTTCCTTTACTGGAAGCTCTTCTCGGGCAAGACAGCGAATAAGCCTCTTTCCCAAAATGCCAGTGTCGTGATGAGTTTGGAGGGGACATTAGAGGTGTGTGTGCGTGTGTGTGTGTGTGTGTGTGTGTGTGTGTGTGTGTG